GGAGGGGGGGGCAGGACGCAGCCCTGAGGGGAGTCTGTGCTTAGACTGATGACATCAGAGGTGTTCTGTCCGACCCGGACTGACTGAGCATCTCAGCATTGATGTGATCTATGTTAGAGCTGCAGTTAAAAAAATGCTCCATCTGAAGAGCTTCACTCACTAAAGGTAGAAAAACGTTGATCTAAAGACCAGTTCAGAATGTTTATTAAAAACTTAGAGGAGCTGAGAAATGGAAGCTGAACTTCGGTCAACATAAATAAATGGAATATAAAGAAGATTATGATTTAGATATTAAATATTCTACTTGTATTAAATTAATATTTGGCCTTCCAGCTCCCCATGGGAGGAGTGTTTGGATTATGGAGGATGTCACTGAGTGGCCATCCTGTAGAAACCCAGACATTTAAAATAAACAGAAAATCAGAGTCTTTGTGTACAGCACAACATTAACTTTTGTTTATTATTCATGTTATTAAACTGGTTAATTTCAAAGGCAGTGAGTAAGAATAATTTTACTGGATAAAGGATTTTAGAGGAGATTATTTTCTATCAGAATAAAATTACAAAATTAAGACTGGAGGGATTTGGACATAAATTACTTTGGATTTTCAAAAATTTTCCTTTTCTTTTTCCCCTCTGAGTTTTAAGTTTTTCATACTTTTAAAACAAGATTTTAAAACTCTCAGGAAGTCAGAAGGTTTTATCCACAGCAGATCTGCCCTTATTTCTACAATAATGAGCTGAAAGAAGTTTGAATTACTGGAGGTAAAACAAATGTATTGTTCTGTTATTAAAATAACTACATGATAATCAACGGATGTATTATGTCAATACTGATTAAAAGTAACATTATTTTATTATGTTTACATTTCTTCCATCTGAACAGTATACAAAGTATTATTTTATTTAATCCTTTTAAACAACAAAGTATTTATTTTGTTGTTTTTTTTAAATTAGGAAATATTAATATGGAAGCTAAAATATTGAATTCAGTAGAAAAATACCAGTTTTTTTTTTTTACTTGTTTATTAAATTCATGAGGTTAACATTATGAAGATTTTTAAACTTTCCATCATTCATGTGAGTTTGGCAGGGCTGAATTTTATCTTAATTTTAACAGAACTGAGATAAAGGGAATTGAAAAACTGTCTCGTGTCAAACCGTATAAAACATCCAAATAAAACCGGGCTCACACTGAGCCTGGTTCTGCTGGAGGTTTCTTCCTGTTAAAAGGGAGTTTTTCCTCTCTACTGTCGCTACAAGCATGCTTAGTGTGAGGGATTGCATTGGAGTAAATGAGTCGATGCAATCAGCTGGTTTTCCTTAGAAAATTTTTAATCAATCTGACTGGATGATCTAGTGAACTGGAAAGTGCCTTGAGATGATATGATGTGAATTGGAGCTATAGAAATAAACTGAATTGAACCAGGAGCTAATTCTATGGAAGCCGGTTTCCGCCTCATAAAAATAAAAAAAAAGGCAAAACAGAGTCACAATTATGAGATATTCAACTTTCCAACTTCATATTCCATAATTATGACTTTCTCCTTGGAATTGTTTTACTTTCATGTGGCCTAAACGGGCTTCCATACCTTTCGGAGGTTCCAGCTGTTCCCAGCCTGGAGGCCAAACACGTCTGGCTGTTGCTAGGCAGCCGGATGCTGACGGAAACCCTTCGGCTCGGATCGGGAGTCGTCGTGTTTTTCCGGATCCTGTCGCGTCCTCCACGGTGCTGCTGATGTCAGTCCGCCGCAGCTGCGGGATGATGGCGAACAACAAAGCGGTTCTGATCCGGTAAATCCGACCGAGCCAAAGTGCAGAGAGCGATGGAGAGAGGCGGCTTCCCCGAACAGAACCAGATCCTGCAGGTTCTGAAGAGGCTGAAGGAGGTCTTCGATGTGTGCGATGAGGATGCTGACGGCTTCATCCGGGTGGAGCACCTGATGGACCTTGGGCTTCAGTTCGGTCAAGGAGACGAGGTGAGCTGAAGGGAAAGCAGGGCTGCTGGGATGAGATTCAGTCTCTGAGGGATGGAGAGCTGGAGGAGGAAGGAGCCGCATGGAGACCAGCTGTCAGTCCGCAGCTGGAGGAGATTTAATCCCAGCTTTAGGAGGAATTTAGGCTGTTCACTAATCCACACTCTGACTGCCTGTTTGTTCCCTAAAAACAGGAGGATCCTGGAAGACATCACTGAGGATACGGTCTGTTAAAACCAGGTCTCTAAACCATCAGATTCAGGGGCGGATTTAGGAAATGTGGGGCCGTAGACAGACAGGGGGCCCTCTGAATTGAGAAGACAACACATAAAACAGACCCATTCTACAGATAGAGAAATGTAAAGTCATAGGGAAATCCTATTTAAATGTCATCTCATTCTGGCTTAAACAGAAGGGTGTAGGTTTGATTCCAGCTTTGGTAGGGACACTATTGGTCTCCAGTTTCATTGGTCTGAGGTCACTGGTCCTATGTGAAAATATGCATGATCTTTTTTACACTTAATGTGAGCATCAGGACACATTTTGTTTAAAGAGAACAGCAGCATTTCTTGCTACATTGATACGAATCTTATAAGCGCTACACGCACTAGATGCTGTTTATCAATGTTTAAAGCATCACTTGCTCTGATTAATCTGGAATTAGGACTTTGGTTTGCATTTAAACTTACCAGCGACTAAGACAGTGTCTATATAACCAAATATAGTCTAAAGATTCCTGTTAAATGTGGATTTATCCTGTGTTTTTTTCTGGAGATATAAAATTGTGAAGAGGTAAACAGAAGTAAAACCTACTCTTTTTTTTATCTAATATGCTCTCTCTGTATCATGCAAAATAATACATTAAAGGGACGGCAAATAAATGTATTTTATTTACATTTACAATTAATCATATTAATCGATTATTTAAATAATCATCAACTAATTTAGTAATTGATTAATCGTTAATTGGAGTATAGGGCCACTAAAATGTGCCTTTAGCCGACAGAGCGACCCACTTAGAGCAGGAATTATACCAACGTTTTGCATTAAAATTCTGTCAATATTCTCCATCCAGAACTCCTCAAGAGGAAACATTTTTGTTTAGCCTGATTTCATTTCATAAAAAAATCTTCTTTAAGGAACCTTTGGCTTTCTGATTAATTGATTCATTGAAAAAATAATTGACAGATTAAACAATTTGAAATATAATCAATAGTTGCAGCCCTAATTTTATGGTAACATTTCAAACACATTTCTACACCAAACCAAGCTTCTGCCGCCCTGGCGTCCTCTTCCACAACGTCTTCGTCCCCGCTTTTCTCCTCTAAATAAAAAATGGATGACAGAGGAGACTCATCCACGACCTCGCGGTCCTCCAGGTCCGCTGTCCTGCAGGTTTTAGAGGTGTCCCTGCTTTAGCACAGCTGATTATAATGATTGCAGTAGACCAAAAGCCTGTTAATCAGCTTTCAATTAAAATCAGCTGTGCTGGAGCAGGAAACCTCTAAAACCTGCAGGACAGCTGCCCTCGAGGACCGAGGTTGGGGATGCCTGCCGTAGGAGACTCATCCACGACCTCCGACA